CCGCTAGGTGTCTCACATTGGATTCATATTTAAAGACTTTACATTTTTAATCATTCGTTTTTAAAAAACGATCTTTTCTCATTTCCCTGAATGATCCATTTCGTTCGTTCATTGTCGTTTTTTCTAAACAACAGCCTTTTTCACAACAAATTTCTTTCGTTCTCAAACATTTTGTTAGCCCATCTCTATTAATATATATAATCTATCTTGGTTGGTTTCGAGTCTCAGTAGTAGCACTGTAACATGGTCTTTTATTGTATAGGACATTTCACTATAGCTTCAGTAGAAAATAATTCTGTTTAGTGTATAGAGCGCTGCAATAAGGATTTATCTCTGATTGGCTAATTAGATAGATAGAAGGATATTTGTTACCGCTATGCAATTTCTATTGGTTCAGAATATACACCAAACACATGACTGAACTTTGATTGGATCAGGCGCTAATGGACTCGGCATTCTAGGATCTCATTGATAATTAATTAATTAAAGGGACTGTAAGCGTAATTTCAAGTGACCCTCCATGCAAAGATTGCAATGCCCGATTTAAAACGGTATCATTGAAACTTTAATCTGATTAAAAATGAGGATGAAACGGTCGTTCTTCTGACTCGAAAAGTGTTTATTTCTGTGAGTTTCTCCATTGCTTTTTATAAACAAGAAATGCGTGAGTCACTTTTGCAGAGAAACCACAAATGAAAATAAACGGTGTAAAGAACCAAAAACATTGATATCTTATTCATACGATTCATACTTGATCAGAAAAAGTTTTCAAGGTTACCGTTTGTAAATCGGGTATTGCTAACACAAATCTACAATTTCCTAAAATGTACAAAACCAGATAATCCGCGAAAATAAATGATACACATTGTATGAGAAACAAGCAATCAGAATCTAGTTGGCTAGATGAGTATAAAATGCTGTATATAATTGACATTTCTTTGAACTAATGACATTCTTAATAGGTTAATTCTTTTTATTTTGTATATGTATAAAAATATTCTTTTTAGTCTTTTCACCCCTCCCCCAAGATCCCCCCTACCGCCGGCTGTCCTTGTATTTCCTCTCTCTTTGTGTAGAATTAATAGAATATGAACACAATACATGCACCCACTAAACGAAGGTTAACAATATAACATTATTTAGTATCTTTATTAAGTTTAGAGGAAAAAACTTTCATATTTTATTTAAGGGAAAAGTAGGTTTTTTGTACACATTCTATTGTTTTTTATTCATAATAAACCACTTTATGGCTTTTCCCAATACCTTATAGTAAGGTATTGTCATATATTTAGTCCATTTTTATCATGAAAACAAGGTTTCTATATTTTAAGAATAATATTACAACTTAAACAATTTATATTGAACCAGCTTCTGACTTATCTTAAACTTTTTATAATTACACACCTTTGTTCAACACGAGAGGGGCTATAATTGTATTTTTATTGACCCTGACATAGGGCACACCCGATTTACAACAGTAACTTTTAAATCTTTCTGATCAGTAATGTGGGAGAGATCGTCGTTTTTTCTAGATTGATAAGTGTTTAGTTCTTACTATTTCCTCCATTGTTTCTATATAAGGATAAGAAAATTTGAGAATTAATTCAGTTCTTTTAATTGGATTGTGTATCATTGCAAACTTGACTGAAGGAGAAGCTGTAAATTTTAAGTATCACTACTCACATAGATTCATCAATATTTAAGACAGGGTCGATTTTGAGGCGTTGCAACGCCTTAAGCTTTGAATTACTACTTTACCTCACATTAACTTGTATATGCGATTCCATTAGCGCCTTATCCTATCAGGATTCAGTCATGTGTTTAGTGTCTATTTTGAACCAATAGAAATTGCATGGCAGTATCATTTATCTTTCTATCTATCTTATCATCCAATTAGAGATGAATCCTTATATCCTTATTTTACATTTAAAATTACGCACTTTAAAGCACTTATTTCTAGCTTCAGTTTCTAAGAAGTGATTGGACAAATTTTCTTAGATTTTGGCTTGAGAGCTTAAGACCTCTAAATCACAGTTTACTGAGTACTACAGTACGACCTTGTGACCTCGTACTTAACTTTAGTTTTAAACACAGTATGAAAGACAAATTTATTAGAATTTAAAAAAAAAAAATTTTCCATAGCACTTTGTTAGTTACGATAAAAACATTGAACATTTCGTACTTGCAATTCACTTCAGTTTGACGGCGTTCGATAATAATTTCCAGTTTATATTTCTAATTAAACATTTCTAATTATATATATATTTCTAATTAAATATTTCTAATTATAACTGGAATTCATTAATTACATTTGAAAATTTAACATTTCACATAATTTCATTAAAGTCTGTGCAATTCAGATTTCCTGGTAAAAGTTGAAAATTAAAACTCGTAAATTTCAGATTTTCATCTTAATTCATAAAATGTCGGCTAAAAGTTTTCTATCCCACCCCCCCTCCNNNTTAACCTTAGATGTTCGATTCCCCGTTATTTCTTGCAAGGTAAGGTAAAGACAATAGGAAAATTTGTCTTTGTGTATTAACTAAAGGACTTCAGTCTGTTCCACAAACTCTGATTTTCTAATCCCTATATCTCTGCAACCCATTGTCAGAGACCTTAGACATTTTAAACTATGAATTCTGTTAGATCAAATCATCTGGTTTGAAATATTAAAGGCTCAATTACTTTGCGATTCACAATGAACCCTGTTTCGATGGGTTGTTTGTAAGCAAACGAAACCGAAACTGGACAATTGCACGGATAAATCATTAAATTAAACCCAGTTCAGAGTTATAGGTCCATCATGGTTGAATGTTTAAAAATAAAATTTCAAGGAAAAATGTCGACTTGAAATACAAAACCCCTGCTAGTTGACTTACACTTTAGAGTGTACATAGTCCATACTGCAGTAAACTGTTGGACTTATCTTATTTGGTTTGTTTACCAATATTTATAGGTATTTATTATTACTTGCAATTATTATGTTTGTTATTGGTAATATAGTTTATATATACGTTTACAGCGATAACCAGAAAACCGTTGAATATAAAGACGACATTAATTGATAAATTGATACTAAGCATATATTTATACTAGTAGTAAACTCCCTTAATAAGAGAATTTGAGTTTAAAATTCGTCCTCCTATTCTACAGTTTTCTGGGTCTTTTTAACCTTTAAATGTAAAATATAATTTTAGGCCTGATTCGTTTTACTCAGGTGTAAATTCAGGACGTACAAAAAAGCCAGGATGGATCTTTGAGTAAGGACGTATTAGGAGTAAGGCATGGATCTTGGAGTAAGAATGGGTCTTTGAATAAGGACGTATCTAGGCTAAATTTGTCCTTTTTTCAAGATCCATCCAAACCCCAAGATAACTTGGAATAGGGATAAAGCCTAGATTAAAAATTACACCATGAGTTGTATGAATGAACCCTGGATTAAGAGTTCCTTAAAACATTTTTAGGACCAGACATTTGGAGTTCCTTTAAACACTTTTAGGACTAAACATTTGGAGTTCCTTTAAACATTTTTAGGACCAGACATTTGGAGTTCCTTTAAACACTTTTAGGACTAAACATTTGGAGTTCCTTTAAACACTTTTAGGAATAAACAATTATAATTTCTTTAAACTCTTTTGAACTAGACATTTGGAGTTCTTTTAAACACGTTTAGGACCAGAAAATTGGAGCTTCTTTAAGAACTAGACATAAATTTTATAAAATATTTTTCTTCTTGACACATTGTTAATCCTTATATCTAAGTTCAGAGTGGATCAATTTCATTAAAAGTAAACTCAGCAGAAATGTTTTAACCCGAGGTTTTCTTGACACCTTCAGATGAAAAGCGTTAAGAAAACAGCAAACATTTTTTTTAATTAAAGACATTTCTTTTTGCCCTCCAATACTTTTAAGCGAATGTAACTAGGGGTAAATTTCAATTGACTTTCAATTTTATGATGTCCAATTTACAACTGTATCTTTTTAACCATTATCAGATTAATAATGTGGAAGATAATAATTTATATATTTGAGATATTTTTTGCTCAAAAAGTGGTTAGTTCTTACAAGTTCCACCATAGTTTCAACAGCAAGAAATCCGCAAGTCTCATTCTTAGAGAACCACAATCAAAAATGATAATTTTTATATTTGATATGTCAATTAGTTCTTAGCTGGCTCTGATATTTGGTGCAATTTATCGGAGAAATCCTGTTAAACTGTTCATCTTAGTTCTCTCAATAAACTAGTTAATTTTGATCTAGCTGGAAGGATTTAAGCTGAATTGAGGTAGCCTGGGCCGGGGGATATTAAAGGAACTGTAGACCTATTTTTAAGGTAACCTCCATAAAAATGAAATGTCGGATTCACAATGGTATCCTTCAAACCTGTATCTGTATCTCTATTGGCGCTTTCCTGTTGAATTCTGTTGATTTTCTTCATTGTCTCTGAAGTAGAAATGCGAAAGTCACTTTTATAGAGAAATCCCAAAGATCAAAGTTTGAAGGATACAGGAGAAATATGTAGATAGAAGAAAATATTTAAAATAATAAATATTGAAATATATGTAGATAGAAGAAAACATTTAAAATAATAAATATTGAAATGAATCTTGTATTCTTGAATTATAGCATCATGAACCATTTTTGTACCATGGGGGCTTGGGCCGACGCATGCTTCAAAAATTGTTGGTTCAATAATCAATACTTTTGCAAATATTAGATAAAAATATGCGTTAATTATGTCACATTACCGGTTTGTTTCAAATGACGAATATCTTTATTTTTAGATCTAAAATCTATTTGTTTGTTTCTTTACAGAAAACAGTTCTTTTTGTGTAAGATGAAACCCTTGCTGCCAATTTACGAAATAGAGAATTTTATAAAAATACAAATAGAACTCAAGAAGTCATTTTAAAATAAAATTTCATTTTCATTAAATGAAAGAATTAACTGTTTTTTTAAATACACAAAAAACCCTTTTTCTTCATTTTTAATTTTTAAACCTTGTTCCCTGTACCCTGTTCCCTTTATCTTGTTCCCTGTATCCTGTTCCCTGTATCCTGTTCCCTGTATCCTGTTCCTTGTATCCTGTTCTCTGTATCCTGTTCTCTGTATCCTGTTCTCTGTATCCTGTTCCTTGTATCCTGTTGCCTGTATCCTGTGCTTTGTATCCTGTTCTCTTTATCTCTGTATTGGAGGATGAATCCTGACTCCGGGTTGGAGGATGAATACGGAAATATTCTCCGACAAACTTATCTTCAGTTGTCTCCTAGATACAGAGACGGAAGGATTCACCTGGGAAATATATATCAAACGTAAAATAGAAGCAGCCGTAATAGGAGACTTAGCGTTCTTCTTTATAGAGAAATAGGAGACTTAAAATTCTTCTTTATAGAGAAATAGGAGACTTAGCGTTCTTCTTTATATATAAATAGAAGACTTAGCGTTCTTCTTTATATAGAAATAGGAGACTTAGCGTTCTTCTTTATATAGAAATAGGAGACTTAGCGTTCTTCTTTATATAGAAATAGGAGACTTAGCGATCATATTTATACAGAAATAGGAGACCTAGCGTTCTTCTTTATATAGAAATAGGAGACTTAGAATTCTTCTTTATATAGAAATAGGAAACTTAGAATTCTTCTCTATATAGAAATAGGAGACTTACCGTTCTTCTTTATATAGAAATAGGATACTTAGAATTCTTCTTTATATAGAAATAGGAAACTTAGCGTTCTTCTTTATACAGAAATAGAAGACTTAGCGACCTTCTTTACATAGAAATAGAAGACTTAGCATTCTTCTTTATATAGAAATATGAAACTTGGCGTTCTACTTTATATAGAAATAGGAACTTAGCGACCTTCTTCACATAGAAATAGAAGACTTAGCATTCTTCTTCATATAGAAATAGGAAACTTGGCGTTCTACTTAATGTAGAAATAGGAACTTAGCGTTCTTCTTTATATAGAAATAGAAGACTTAGCATTCATCCTTGTATTGAAATTGGACTTTTAATGTCCTTGTTTTTTTAAGTCTTTCCAGAAAAGGCAATTTCGAAAATGACATTTTCTCAAATTGGTGTTTTCCTCTCAAATAAGTAAAATTTACTTTCTTTTTTATTATGGAATTACAAAAAAATATTGACTGCAGCCTACCACGCTTTTATATATAGACAACACAACTATATCAGATAAAATACAGTCTAACCGAGAACTTCGGAACATCAAAAGAATTTATAAAATGTCGTCTTGACAATTTTTTTAATGGGTTTTATACTTTTATACCTAAATCTCAGTAATTGTAAAAATAAATAAATAGCCATGAAATATGCGGGAACAGTTTAAAAGAGCTCAATACAAGTATTTAAATAAAAAACTAGATTCTAAAATCTGTTATAGGTATTTAAAAAAAGAAATTTCATTTATTCTTTTGATGTCTCCAAAGTTCTGAGTTAAACGGTATATTTTTACTTCTATTTATTTATTGAAACAAATATTGAACCAATAACGAAATATGTAGATTTAAAATGTTTTTCCTTCATTTTTGAGGCTACTGGTACATTGCCAGTACATTATAATATTACATTATTGTACACAGTGCACACAAACAAAATGATAATTAAAAAATACAGAAAAATATATGCTATGCAGAATGGAATAAAGTATTAGTTATTATCATTAATATCAATTAATTCTTGTTTACATGAATACAATATCTACATTAATCCCTCTGATCTCACCCTGCCACAGATCACCTGACAATTTCCTTCCTTCCAATCAACTCCTTACCTATCCAAAAACATATCTTGATGTGTGTAACCAATTATATTCAGTATAGTTAACTAACTTAGGGTCAACCACTCAAAACAACCAGAACTGGTTAGGCGGTTCCAAACTGCACAGTAAATTGTGATTGCTTATTTGTAATATCTCATGCTTTGAATAAAAATATGAATGAATGAATGAATATTTATTATACCATTACACTTTTTTGCTATTTTTTTACCAAATTCAACAGATTTACCATTTTGTACAAAAAAAGAAGATCAGATTGACATGTTTTGTAGCACCAATTTTAACAATATCGACATTTTTATAATAAAAAACACATAAGGGAAAATTCCTATTTGGGAAGTAGCCATATGGGAAATTAGTCACCTTGGAAAAATGCGTTTTGTAAAGTACGTTTTTTATTATTCCTTGATGCCAAAATATCAATTTTTTCCCAAACTGTTGACAATAAAATTCCAATTTTATTTCAGACAAAAAAATGCCAGAAGAAAATGATGAAAATATTTTTCTGGATTAACAAATCTCACAAATGATCGACAGTGACACCCATTCCAACCCATCACTCCAGTTCCCACCTCAAACTATTAAATTGAATTTAAAATTTGGCGCTAAAAGTATTCTATGTTGACACTCTTGACAGTGTTGAAACCCACACTAAATATTCATGATGAACAGGTGAAATTAATAATATTTGGTTTGGTAATTACAAAATACAGAGCGTT